GATCATAGCATTGTAATAAAGTTTCCTTTGATCAGTGGGCAAAAAGCGTCTTATTTTTCGCAGCACGGCAATTCTCTGCAATAACTTCGTGCATAGATTTTCAACATGTTGGTCGAAAGTAAGCTGGCTGTCAATCGTGACACCTAATAGTTTATGCGAGTTCACTTGTTCAAGTTCAGTAGAATAAACGTTTAACTGTAGGGTGGACTGTTCCAGTTTTCCTTGGCTTGCCAAACCATCTCATAGGACATGGCAGTACGACCAGCTACATCAAGAAGTAGGTCCTGAGTCTTTTTGGAGGATTTTATCTTCTGATTTCTACCTTGATACCAGATCTTGTAGAAACTTGTCCAACACTGGTGTGTAAACACAGTCCACATTGGGACAAGGGCAAGATCGCAGAATTTCATGGCAACAATCCAATTACGACATGCTGGCAATTGCTTGTTTAACACTAATAACTCAAGAACAATTCACGAGTTTTTCTTGTTCAGTTGAAGTGCAGAATGAAACAGAATTTTAAGTGCCTTAACATCCTCTAAGGCATCGTGGGCTTCAAATTCTTCTTTAAAGAGATGCAAGTAACGTGCTGATGTGTTTAATTTGCAAGATGCCAATTCACTGAGTTGCAATGCCGGGTGTTTTTCTTTCAAAAGATGTTTGACAAGGATTTGACTGTCACCAAAATAAACATTCAGGTTTCTTAATTTGCTGCAAAAATTTTCGTCACTTCTCTGGAGAAGTATGTTGATGAATTATGACCTGTCAGAGCTATACAAGATTCCTTCTGGGATGAACATTTTACTTGACCAAGAAAAGTGAAACTCCTGAAGCACTTTATCAAGAGAGACACTTTCCACTGGTTGGTTTTCTTTCAATAATTTTCTGATTGCATAGATATTTTGAACAGATAGTTTGTTCACTCGTGGAGCTCCAGTACTCATATTTCCTGTTGGTAGAATGTACTTTGGAAACACTTGATTTTCATGAATGGTGGATAGCTGACAGAGCTGTGCATTTTTCCCATTGCAGGTAGTCTCAGTGTCAAAAACAACAGAAGTGTTAGTTTGGTTTGGATCATAAGTGAGTTTTGGCAGATCAGGTTGAGCG